ATACCGAAAACGCAAAACATAGCAAGTAAAAATGTAAAATAAATATTGTATATATTTTGCCGATGGTGTATTTTGATGTCGGTGTTGGGCCTAAAATGACTCCGAAATTACTTAGTCTTTTTAAAAACGTTATATCATTTTTTGCCTTCATTGTATTGGGTTTTTGAAGGGAAATGTTCGACTATATTGTTATATTGACATTATATTTGTATATATATGTAATTTCGTAATTTGCATAAATTAATCTAATTATATATTATAAATAATAACAAAGGGCTCTTTTAATTTGTTATATGCTTTTTAATATATTTAAGTGGAAATACAATTACTATCGTAAAAAAATACACGTTTTTATGTTATTTAGTCAACTTGAAGGAATTGTATCTAAACTGAACATACATAAAAAAACTTATTAACTAATTGGGCAAGAACTTGCCACTCGATCATGTTTACTTTGACACATTTTGCCGGAGAGCCATATTAGGTCAAAACTTCGCCAGAAATTGCTTAAACGCGCAGAACAGTTAAGTATCCAATTATTTTCAATTTAAATAATTCAAATAATGCACCCCCCAAGTCGGCACAACTTTCAACCCTGGATCTAATTTTTTTATAACTTCTTTGCATTTTTCCATACAGTCTGTTATGTTGTTAATGTAATATATTAAAATACCGAATACCTTTTGACATAAGGTTTAACAGAAAAATATTTTTAAAAATATGTTCCCAAACATCTGAAGAATCTGTCCGTATACGGTGGGCCCGATTACCCAACTCTCCACTACACTTTGTGAATTAAAAATTATCGACTTACATTTAAATGTAATGTGAATATGTTTGCGTTAAAAATTTATCAATTTAAATTTGTAACAAATAAAAGTTTTTGTTTTAAATTTCTCAATAGTCATTTAAATGATATATCATTTGACTATAGTCAATAAATTTTTAATCCAAAAATTACCACTTTAAAATTTAAAACTAACATTTAAATGTAATATAAACATTTTGGCATTAAAAATTTATTGACTATTATTTAAATGACTCTTTACAAATCTAAACCAATAATTTTGTAGAATAATAGTATATTATGTATCAAGTTTTATGAACGCCATTTTAGTAACGAGTTTTATTAGGCACAAGCGAAGCTTTCGAGCGAGTGTTTAATAAAAACAAGTGTCTAGTAAAGTTTATAAAACGCGTTAAAGCCAATTTTGATTTACTTATAAATATTTGACATTTGACAAATTTAACCTCACTTTTTAGAAAATTTATATTAAAGCTAATTTCAGCCCGTGACTAAAATGTCCAAAAGCCACTGTTGTTAACTTCAGCCCGTGACTAAAACGCCATAAAGTCACAGCTCTTCAGTGTAGGAGTAGATAAAATATTAACACTACGATTTTTAAAAATAAATTTCTTTAAACTTAAACTTTTCCATTGTAAGGGGTGCTACACTAACACTTTTTCATGATAATAAATTGTTCAGATACATAATATGTATAATATATTATATCCAGATACGTTAATATACAGAAATAGTATACAAAATCAGATATTTAACTAAAACAAAATGTCAATAAAAACTTGTATAGAAAACCTTTTATAACGTCATGAATCTCGTAACGGGCCAGAAAATCAGCATATGCGACCAAGATGGCTTCCAAAGTTGAAAATTGAAAATTTTGGATGAAAGCATTTTATATTTAACATTTATTTTTTTATTATCAATTGTTTTGACATTAAAAAAATTTAACTTTTTAAACTATTTTGGTAGAAAATGTTTCATATGTGTTTTATTTGAAATGTCTCGACACTATTTTTAAATATTACAAAATTTAACTTTGCCAATTTAATCCAAATAATTTTATCAAAAATTTATTTAGTTGGTATTGGCAAAATTATTAGAAATTATTTTTATTAAAAAATGATTAATTGGAAAGGGGACATCCATGGATGATGCATTAATAACGTTAGGCATTTATTTGATAATTTGGACCCCCCCATAACAATAATTATAACATTATGTTGATTAATAGATTATCACAAAATGTGTATACACTACTCGACAAATGGCTATAGCTTAGTTGGTCTATTATAATAGATGGACCATGAAAATCACCCTTTATTGTGGTAAAACAAGCTTCTAAAATGTATCCACAAATCCCATACTTGCATATATGCAATTCGATTCGATTATAATCGAATCAAACTGCATTATAATCGAATCAAACTGCAACTTTTGTATAAAATTTTAGTCTATTTTAGATAGTGATCGTCTTATGAAGGAGTTTCTTATAAAACCCTTATTTCATTTAGACGCATTTTAGTTAAGTTCACAATCTTAAGAAAAGTGTTTTTAATTTTTTTTATATAAATTAACAAATAAAACTACCTTTTTTCAAACACTGGGTATATTTGGACATATAAATATTTACTTAAGTTGTAGGAGTATTAAATTGTAAGATGATTATAATGTAAGAAGTAAAATATGAAAACATACTAATTAATGTGTTTCTATTAACATAATAAAAATTTGCAGCTGTAACTTTTAATTCGTATTTTTCGATTATTTTTATAACTTGCGATGTTTCTCTCAGAATTTCTGGCCTTTTTGAAAAAGTTTCTTCGATTAAATAAAACGTCCTTATAGTTTTTTGGCTTGAATTGTATATTAAATCGCAAGAAATTACTATAAAAGTACAGAATATCTAAAAAATAAATTATTAGAAAAAATATCTCTATAACATATTTACAAAAAAAAATCCCTATAATAATGCCTAAACTTTGTTTTAAGGCCATTTTCAAAGTCACGAAAAAAACCTTTACTTTTAGGTCACATACGAGGTGTGTTCAGAAAATATCGGGAATTTTCGTTTTTTGAAACAAATATTTATTTATTCGTCTACATTAATGTTGTCGCCTTCAAAATAGTCCCCATTGGATATTATGCACATGTGCCAGCTCTTCTTCCAATACTCGAAACACTTCTAAAACTCGATCTTTGGGATAGCCTTTAGTTCTTTCAGCGATGCGCTTTTAATGTCATCTATTCTTGCAAAACGACGGCCCTTTAAGGTTCTCTTTATTTTTGGGAATATGAAAAAGTCAGACAGAGGCATGTCTGGCGAATATGGAGGCTGGGGCATTTTTACAGTATTGTTTTTGGCCAAAAATGTTGTTCAAAATTTAACAATTTTAGAACAAATTTTGCTGTCACGCGTTTCATACCCAAAACATTCGAGAAAATTTCATGGGATGAGCCAATCGATATACCAACATCATCAGCGAGTTCTCTGATGGTTTATAACCATTTCTTCCACTTTTTCCATGTTTTTATCGGTTGTTAATGTGCTTGTGCGTTCGGGGCGTTCGTCATCTTCAACGCCTTCACGGCCTTCTTGGAAACTCGTATACCACTTGTAAACTCTTGTTTTACTTATAGCAGACTCACTATAGGCCTTGCTTAACATTTCACAGAATTTATTTCATTTTTTAAGCAAAATTGGACGCACTCTGATATGTCAATTTCTTTTAACGAACGAAAAATCGCCGAGCTCATAAAACACGTCTAACCTTAGCGGCAGCCACAGACAAAGTAAACAATGAAATCAGCTGAAGCTTTTATCATACTTCGGGGGCATGTATACCAACATAATAAAGAAAATTTTATAACAACCGGACCCGCGAAATTCAACATATATTTTCTGAACACACCTCGTACATTTGTGGTATACTTACCAAATAAACTAATGTAACTAAAATAAAAATAAAAAAATTATCCATATTCAATTTAGATGTCAATATATAATCAAAAAGGCTTAAAAGTGTCACCACAGTAGCGGGTATAAATATAAAAATGGGCCATCCGAATAAAACATTAAAATCCTTTATCAATTGTTCACATATTTTTATCAATTTCCATCCAAATTTAATTTGTTTAGTGACTTTATTTTTATCAAAAATCGATTCCACTGTAATTCTTTCCAGTAAATGATTAACAATGGTAATTCTTTTATGTATTAATATAGCAACATTAAATATAACAAGCACCATAAAATTTTGAAAAATATTTTTAAAAAAATAAGAATACCAAAACACTAAATTCTTATAGTCTGTAATTATTGCTTCATATGCATTGAATGACAAACAATCAAATTAAATAAAATGACAAATATTAAAGGCAATATCCATACCAGTTTAGACGCATCATATTGTATTTTAGAAGATAACTCTTTATCCAAAATATTTAAAGTACTTATCAACGAATACCAATTGTTAGAACAAAGTAAACATTTCAAAATCCATATAACAATAAGGATTGCTTCTAAAGATAAGCCCAAATATTTCCAATATGATTCTTCTAAGAAGAGCATTTTCAACCAACATTCTTTTATATAAGGAAAACGCAAAATTTAGCAAGTAAAAATGTAATATAAATATTTTATATATTTTGCCGATCGTGTATTTTGATGTCGGTGTTAAGCCTAAAATGACTCCAAAATTACTTAGTCTTTTTAAAAACGTTATATCACTTTTTGGCTTCATTGTACCTATTGAGTTTGTGAAGGGAAATGTTTTACTTTATTATATGTAACTCAGTTAAACTACGTCATTTTTATAAAAAAGCACTTTTAATTTGTTATATGCTTTTTAATAACTTAAATGGGAATACAATTTCATCGTACAAACAATAAATTTATATACAGGGTGTTTAAAAACGAGCAATAAAAAATTCTTAAAACCGTGTCAGATCTGGAGGTCATTCTGTTGGTCCTCTTCTACCATTTTACTGTTCTAGATAATTCTGATTCAGTCAAGCCCTAGAAGCTACTACATAATGAAATCATTAAAGGGAGGCCAAAAAAACACTTTAGAAAAAATATATATATTGTCTGTTATAGGAAATATTTTTAAATTAGCAGTTTTATTTAGTAATTATTGATATTGTCCTTGTCAGTTACTAACATCATTGCATTGAACTTTATTAATGAAAAGGCTACACTTATTATCTTTCTCCAGCTATTTCGCGTTAAATTAAAAATAATGTTGTGGACTATAATAACAACTTATCAAATCATTTACGCATGAGCCAAGTACCAAAGAACATCACCAAATCAGAATTTACAGTGAAATTATGAAATAAGTGAATTTATTTATGTTTGTATTTATTTATTTGTTAATTAAGGTAAGTGATTGTTAAATATAGTTATAATATCTTATTAAAATATACATTACTATAATTTTGTCAACATTAGTTTTATCATATCAATATCAATAAAAACTATTTAAAAGTTCTATGAACCCTTTAAATCATAAAAAAATGAGCTTCAGTTTTTTTATTTTAACTTTCTAGAACATCTTTGAAAATATAATATTAAAAGTACTATAGATACATAAATAGTGTTAAACATGTAAACAATAGATAACCTTTAACGTTTATTTTGCAAAATGCTTCGAGATTAAACCGTAAAATTATTTGCAGTTTTAATAAAAATGAAATCTAGAAGTCTAGTCATATTCTTTGGCGTCATAATATGTTTAATACACAAATCCAATGCCAGGTCAAGGTGTATAACCCCTATTGGGGCTTACAAACCCAGGAATAGGAATGACGTGGGGAGGTATATTATCGATATACCGGGAAATCCGAAAAATTATGTGGCCAATCAGAGATATAACGGTAAGTTAAGAAAAGTCCGGATCAATGTCATATTCATTAAACATTTTAGTTACTCTAAAGTCGAATCCACTATCAAGAAGCCTGAGAAGTTTCAAGAGCTTCATGATCACACTAGAATCGGAAAAAGCGGAAAATTTTGCAGACGATGTCAATGTAAATCAAGCAGTTGGTCATTTCGAATTTGGAAATGACATGCTTTCAATGTTCAGCAGTGTTTGTCCAAATACCGTTTTAGAATCAAATGCTTTGCTCAAAACTGAAGTTCAGGTAAGGAGATATCGCTACTCTCTAAAAATGAATTAGTCAAAAATGACTAATTTAATAGTTATTAGTGGCTGCTTTTTTACTTGTACCATGGTTAACCTTGTAATACCATGGTATCACAAAATTTAACAGCCAATTCTTATGAAAAATTGTCCCCTGAAATCGGAAATACCGTCAAAAATTATGAAAGTTCCATATTAAATAGAAAATTGACTATATCTCAAAACCTGTTCTACTTTTTTTAACTTTTGACGACATTTTAGGATTCAGGGGACAATTTTACATAAGAATTGGTTGTTAAATTTTGGGATAACATGGTATCCCATGGTTAACCATAGCACAAGTGAAAAAGCAGCCACTTATAACTATTAAATTGGTCATTTTTGACTAATTCATTTTTAGAGAGTAGGAATACTAAAATTCTATAAATATATTTCAATTTAGTTATATTGGATAGCACCCCCAAAAAATAGTGGTTGTGTTTCTATTAAAGCTACAGTAATAGAATCTAGGGATAACTGGTTCAGTGAAGATGGACCTTTAACGAAAAACCTTTGTGAAGAATCCACTGAGAATGATGATACCCAACCAACAATATTAAAGCATTGCTGTGCTTGCAATGAAGCCAAATATGAGGTAAAGTCAATTAAGTCATTGAAAAAAATCTTGATAATCATTTCGTAGATCGCATTTGATGGTATGTGGACTAGAAACACACACCCAAGAGATTTCCCTTCAGATGTTTGGAGCACAAAGTTTAGCGAAATTATTGGAGCTTCCCATAAAGTGGACCAATCATTTTGGAGATACGCTGGAATTGCTAGTGATGGTATGAGGGATTTGGCTGAAACTGGTTATACCAAGACTTTAGAAACAGAATTAAAAGATATGGTAAGTCCAAACATTATTTTGGGTCGATTCATTTTCCATTCATTTTAGAGTGAAAACATCAGGACCATCATCAAAGCAAAAGGCTTACAATACCCAAACATAACATTGACTTCCTTCGCTGTATTCAGAGTAGACAATCAAAACCATTTGATATCGGTGGTGTCAAAAATAATGCCTTCGCCAGACTGGATTGTGGGGGTATCAAACTTGGAGTTATGCAGGCCTGACTGCAAATGGGAAGAAAAACGAACCCTTAATTTGTACCCATGGGATGTTGGGACAGACGATGGAATATCCTACACTGTAAGTTAGCAATTATCCCAGTCAGCATCCAATTCAGAAAGATTTCAGTATGAAGTCTTTTAAACAACTTCGTGTAGAAGTTCTAACATGACGTCTTAAACAGCTCCTTTTTATGAGCTCAGAATTCTGAGCTGTTAATGAACTCATAACTAAGAAGTCAATTTTTTTACGTACAAATGAAGATCTTTTCTTGACCTCTTTTTGAACAATTTATTTTGAGCTTACAGAGTATTCTTTTTTCTTACTTCCAATTGAAATCATACCATTAACTCTTTTAGAAGTCAATATGGAGACGTCACATTTATGACATTTTAATGCGATTACTTTCTTTTCACCGCTGTAACTGCTTGTGTTTGGTATAAGAAGTGGCGAAGTAGAATTTTTTTTTTTTTATTTTTTTTTTTATTTATTTATTTATTTTACACTATAGGTAGCAAAACAGTTCTTCAGTCTATCGGTGCCGGTGAAGAGCACGCTTGAATTTAAACAAAAGTAAACGAAGTAATCGCAATTCCTAAAATAAGCGAATACGAGCAAATTATTAAAATGATTTTAATAAAATCAATTTAACAAATTATTAATATTAATAAAATAAACTTGACATGTCAAAATAAGCAACGATCCAGTATGCAATTTCTTCATCAGTACCCTACTCTCAAAAATAACTAATTTAATAGTTAATAGTGGCTGCTTTTTCACTTGTGCCATGGTTAACCATCGAATACCATGGTATCCCAAAATTTAATAACCAATTCTTATGTAAAATTGTACTCCGAATCTGAAAATACCGTCAAAAGTTATGAAAGTGGAGCAGTTTTTGAGATATAGTCAATTCCAAATTAAATGGAAAATTTACTATATCTCAAAAACTGTTCTACTTTTTTAACTTTTGAAGACATTTTCGGATTCAGGGTAAAATTTTACATAAGAATTGGCTATTCAATTTTGGGATACCATGGTATTCGATGGTTAACCATGGCACAAGTGAAAAAGCAGCCACTATTAACTATTAAATTAGTTATTTTTGACTAATTCATTTTTAGAGAGTAGTAGTACTTCTATATCCAAAACGGAAAATTCTAAAGAAGTCTTTTTATAAGTTTATACAGTAGGACTCTTTAAAATGCTTAATTGCGAAGTCAAAGAAAAGGGTTCCTCAAGAGTTCTTTTTTGAGAAGTCTTGATTAGTTCAATAGGTGGCGCATTCGAAGTCTTAAGAACTTCTTAAAAACTTCTTTCTGATGTTGTATTTGACGTCCAAATCATAAAATAGAGCTTATGCAGACTTAATTAAGACGTCAAATTGCTGTCTATAGTCGTATGTATGTTTAATAACACCTTTGTAGTCTTCTGATGAGCCGTCACTGCCCCGTCAGCCGATCAGGAGAATCAAACCAAACAGCCCGAATGATCCGAGAAGTCCTTTCTACGATGAAAATGGCGAAGATATGAAACCCATCGCCAGATTAACGTTGACCAGGCAAAGATTGTATGAAAAAACTTGCGATGAAGAGGCCCTCATGGCTGGAAATGAAGTTGAAGAATATAGTAGCCCTTGCGCTACTACGAGTTGGGATGAATGGTCTCCCTGTTCTCAGCCTTGTGGGAAAGGAGAAATGTTCAGAATGAGGCGGTATTTGAACCCTGATAACGCGGATATTTGCAGCAAGAAACTTGTCGACAAAAAGGTAAAACCCTGTTTAACGCAATGTGTTTTCTAATAAACCGCTTTCCAGGCTTGCTACGGTCAAACGAGAAACTGCCACCTAGATCGAGACGACGCTTCTCATGAAAATCAAGACGCCGAAAACGAAGTCGAGGAAGAGGTGAACGAAGACGATAGATGCGAACTTGGCGACTGGAGCGAGTGGTCCAGTTGTTCGGCGATGTGCGGCAAAGGCACCAAGACGAGAGATCGCAAATACAAGTTCGGCAGATATGCGAGTTTCTGCGGCGAATCCGCCAAGAATTTGCAGGAAAACGAAGAGTGCGACGGCGACGGAGAGTGCGAGAACTACGAGGAACCAGAAGTAAGCCTAGATTTATCGAATGCAGTTTTATGTTGAGATGTTTTTTGTAGATGGACGAAAGCTGCAGAAGCCAGGAGAACTGGGGAGAATGGGCAGCTTGCAACGTGACCTGCGGAACAGGTTTTAAAGTGCGTTTCCGCATCATCAACGGTGAAGATGATTGCGCCAATATGCCACATCAAGAGATCGTTGAGTGTTACAACCCATCTTGTGAAGGAGGTTGGTATTTTTGAAGATATCTTGCTTCCCATTGACCGCAGGTCAACATGTCTTAACTAAAATTAAAGTTTGTTAAATTGATGGCTCATATTTTCAGGTCAGTTTGGGCCCCTGGAGACTGATAACCAAATTAATGACCTGATTATTGTTAGTCAGGGTCCTGTTGGCAGGGTTATTGACTGCAAGGTGACCAAATGGACGCCCTGGAGTGACTGCAAGGTTGTTAGTGGAGAGACCTGTGGTACAGGGTATATGCAGAGAAGTAGGAATATTATGGTAGGTAAACCAAAATAATATAAAATTATTATTTATAAATAAAAATCATAAAAAAACTATAATTTATTTCATGAAATTTGGAATTTGGAAAGTTTAAATATTTTGAAACTTTTTACTTAAATTATCGTTTCGTCCTCGTCAAACCCTTTCATTTGATACCCATATCAAGGAGTTTGTAAAGAAATAGGTAATCCGCCATCTTGGGGCGCCATATTGGATTTACACTAACTTATCGTTTTCTACCCTTTAAACTCTTTCATTTAATACCCATGTTAAGGAATTTGTGAAGAAATAGGTAATCCGCCATCCTTGTGACGTCACTCATCTTATCGTTTTCTACTCCAAAACTCCGCTTATCCACTTTTTAATAAATATAAGTTAGTGCCACTAACTTAGTGGTGTCTGTACATTTAACATGTACATGGTATCCCCTATTCCCTGAAAAGTTTATAATATTCTAAAACTCACCTTATTCCAATTAAACTTCATTTACAAATTGACTGTCATTCCAAAACTTGCCATTTATATATACAGGGTGTCCGGGAAAAGGAGGTCAATCCGTTAACCATATATTCCTTGAGTTAAAACAATAAGACTTTCATAATACCATTTTTCAATTTAGAGCTTCATGTTCGATATACAGGGCGACAAAGTTTGAAATTTAAAACTGATTTTTTTAAATTATTCGAGTAATTGATAAGATACTAAGTTTAAATTCGGTACACTATTTCAACATAAATAGTTACATTTTTTGAAACCAACAAAACAAAAAACAATTGTCAAATAATCAAAATAGGGGGGTCCAGTACTCACTGACTCCCCCTATTTTTTAATACGTGCGCCAATGACTTCCAAACGGTATTTTTTCAGGTAATCATTTATTGTTAAAAAAAATTTGTCTCTTATAAAAGTTTGATAAAATGATTTGTTTTAGAGATAATTTGTAAAGTATGGGTCAGTCCATATCAAATCAACCAAAGGTTCTTCCCCCACCATCTCCGATTTTGATCATTTTTGGTAAATTTGTTTACCTCACTAAAAAACTCAAAAATCCCATATATGAATTTTTTTCGATAGGTGGTTTTTGTTTTATTGATTTTTGAAAATTAAAAAATTCCGATAAATTTGGGTCTTGCAAGTACTTATAAAAATAGCGATATCTCGTAAACTATTAAAAGTAGAAAGGTGAGTGATGGCTTATTTTAAAGGCCTATTAGAGAACTTTTATATGATATATCACATGACCTACATTTTTTCAAAAAAAAAAATTAAATTTTGAAAATTTGATATGGACTGACCCATACTTTACAAATTATCTCTAAAACAAATCATTTTATCAAAATTTTATAAGAGACAAAACATTTTCAACAATAAATGATTACCTGAAAAAATTTCGTTTGGAAGTCATTAGCGCACGTACTAAAAAATAGGGGGAGTCAGTGAGTACTGGACCCCCCTATTTTGATTATTTGACAATTGTTTTTTGTTTTGTTGGTCTTAAAAAATGTAACTATTTATGTTGAAGTAGTGTACTGAATTTAAACTTAGTATCTTATCAATTACTCGAATAATTTAAAAAAATCAGTTTTTAATTTCAAACTTTGTCGCCCTGTATATTGAACATGAAGCTCTAAATTGAAAAATGGTATTATGAAAGTCTTATTGTTTTAACTCAAGGAATATATGGTTAACGGATTGACCTCCTTTTCCCGGACACCCTGTATATATATATATATATATATATATATATATATAATATATTATATATATTGCAATATATATATCAGGGACCCGGACCGAAACCGAAAAAAACCGAAAACCGGAACGGAACCGGTTTTTTTTTTCCGAACCGAAACCCGAACCGGAACCGTTCAGCATGCTGAAGTTGGGCATTTTAGTCACGGGCTGAAGTTGGCTTTATTATAAATTAGGGAAAAGTGTGGTTAAATGCGTTAAAAGTTAACAGATGTCAAATGTTTAACAAATAAAATTGGCTTTAAATTCTTCTTTGTGTTCGTCGTAGATGAAGTATAGTATGCAACTCGTTATAAAATCTTCTCTAGACACTCGTTATTACTAAACACTAGCTCGCTACCTTGGTATATAAATGTTTTACTTATTTTCTTAGGTGATGTCTGGAAATGGTGGCAAACCATGCCCGAAAAAACTGATGAAACTTAAAAAATGCACCGTGCCTTGCCCTGAGGAAAAATCCCGCAAATACTCAAACTCCAAGGAAACGTTACCCACATGGGGGCCCGCAGAAGGCCCCACAAACGATGACGCCATCTCCGACACTGAGTGTACCATGTCCCCATGGTCGGCATGGTCCCCATGCAGCACCATATGCGGAGGGTCCAGTTTTAGACAACGCACAAGGTAAGTTATTATTAAAAAATTAAAGGCATGTCGACTATTCAGTGTTTTAGGTACATTGTGCATAGACCAGAGGGCTCTACCTGTCCTTCAAGGATAATGCAACAAAGGTGTCCCTTGCCTTTAGCTTGCACTGAAACAGGGGAAGCCCAGATTTAAATTGTAAGATTAACTATAGTAATTTAAATTTAAAAGTAAACTACGTACACGTCATCAATCAGCTGATCGGGCACGGTTGTCAATGTGATGCTAAAATCCTTGCATCAAGGGAAAGTGGTAGTGCAACTACAGGGCGATAGATGGCGTTTAGATAAATAATAATACCAAAATGTCAAAAGTCTGAGTTTTTATAACCTATATGATGCACCGCCAAAAGTATGTTTTTAGCCATTTTTAAAGACATTTTCTGATATAAAACCCAAAAATTTTGCCATCTAAAGTCAGTCTCTGGTATATATATTATTATTTCATGTATCCAACATATATTTTGTTAAATATTCTAATATATAATTAATAATAATCCTATTTACCTCTCTAACAGCTGTTAAAGGTAACAAAGGTCCATTATTATCCCGTTCTGCCTCAAAATAGCGTATTAAGGATGACACCAACTCTTGACTCCGACTATTTAAATGCTTCGGCATTTTAAATATAGGAAACACAAAAAAACGATATATAACAAACACAAAAACGGCAATGAAAACTTAAACGATATAAAATAACACAAACAACAAACGAAATAATACACGAATTAAATGAAATATTCAAAAACACAACTGACAGCTTCGAAATTTTAAAACGTCAAATTCTTTTTTATGTGTCATTTAAATATGAAAAATTTGAATGTAAACATGACAACATCACAATTGTTGCCAACTTAATTTGGTTAAAATGCATTCAAATATTCAATTACAGACTCCGATTTAGTCATTTAGTGTTGGTACCAATGCGTAAAGTTTTTGTTTTATTGATGACGTGTACGTAGTTTACTTTTAAATTTACTATAGGTACCTAACCCAATTTTGTAAGGATTCTGTAAATATGAAACAATAAATTATTATATTTCTATTCGTTTTCTGTTTTTTTTTTCTAAAATGCCCTTCTGTAAATTTTTTGAGTTTTTTTATTAAAAAAAGTGGAAATATCTTCTTCTTCTTTTCTGGTTTGATTGGCCTTTCCCTTCCGGGAATTACCCAGCTGTATTTTATTATTATTATCTGGAGCAAGCGAGTCTAGGATAACCTATAGCTTCTCCTTTTCTTCTTGATTTTATAGTTTATTAATTATTATTATTTTTGTCACTTTTAGATTCTTTTTTCATTAATAGTCTTTTTATTCACTTATGTCCATCACTATCATTTTTGTCTTTTTTAGAGTTTATTCAATAAAGTTTATATCAGCAGCGGAAGTCACTTTTATTACACTTTTACACATACACATACAAAATCACGATATTAGGAGCGGAAGTTACGAGGCAAAAAAAAAGTAAAAAAAAAACCGACTATGCACCACAGGGCTGTTTGCAGAAATATATTCAGTCCTTCAATATTACGACCATCCTTTGTGGAAATCCCTTGCATCTTTACCAATCTATTGTAGATTTTGTGGATTCAGCAATTATCAGCTTATTTATGCGATGAGTTTCATATTATCCACTCAAGGATAGCCGATCCATCTACTTCAGCAGATAACACAAAAGTGGAAATCACAATCCATTGTGGATTGTGAGTTGTCAGTTGATTACATGGCTTACTACCTACTTGATAATTCTATTATTTATAGATTATGCAGTATTTTATTTCCAATGAATGTGATTTTTTAGGTAATTTGTATTTCGAAAAGTGACTTCTGTGATGTTTTGTTGAGTGCGTAACATCTCTTCATCTTTCACGCTTTGATTTTTTATGTATAATTTAAGATTAATAATAATTTGTAACAAAAATCGTGTTGAATCGAAGTTATGACGTTTCAAATTGACAGCAATTTATGCTAAGCTTGTCATGTCATGTCAATGGCTTACTTATAAGTCATGTCAATGGCTTACTTATACTCGTAAGTATACTTGAAATAGTCTACTTAATGTTAAATTTTTATTCAATTGCATTAAAAAAACATATTAAAGTAATACTTTAACAAGACTTTTATGATTGGTATAAAGTTAGCTAATTAAAGTGCCTGGCTATAATTGCCTAGACGAACTTATAAGTGCTTGCCAGATACTTCTATCTATATCGTGTGTCCTATAGGAACTCTAGACCAGTGAATAATGATTATTCACTGCCATTATTCACTCTGTGAAATATGACTATCATTTTGCTTTAGAAAACTCATTTATAAAGTATATATTATAAGGTAGTCGTGGATTAAGTACTTTACACTATAATCCACAATAATAAAGAAAAAAACCAAACAACTATTACAAATCCGCATAAAACATCACAATCACAACATCGCAAACAATGAAATTGTAAACAATAAAACGGGCGACTAACGTATGAATGCGCGAATAAAGATCGAACAGACCACAATCCACACAACAAAAAAATTGCCAAGGTCTTGTCAAAAAGTGTCAGGGTGAATCCGACTCAATAAACAATTTGACAATAATTAATAAACTGTTCTTAATACGTTTAAAAATTTGTGTATACTTTTATATTAAAATATTTGTAGCATTAAAATTAAAATAAAAACCTAAAAGTGTGAAGTATTTATTTAGGTAACAAAAAAATATATATTGAAATTAATATACATTTTTAATGGGTAATTATTTAACAATTTTAGGCATTATTTAGTCTTATTTTCAGCATCTTTCTTTTTAAATAAAAATTTATATGCAAAAATATACTTAAAAATTATAGCTACAGAAATAAAAGAAAAAGCCTTAATTAGTCATAAACTTTTTTGCGAATCATTATCGTTATTATCCAGTTTGCTCTGTTTGGGTGGCAAAATTTGACATTTGATATCATTCCCTTTAATTCTTTTCTGTAAAAATCTTGATTCATTTTTCAAACCCTCCTCCAACAAAGTATAAATGTTTTCCTAAAAAACTCATTATAAAAACAAATCGCAAATTAAATTAACAAACATACTGCTTTCTCCATATTGCTACTATCCCCATTGATAACAATCCTAACCTCATACAATTTTTTCAACCATTTTTGTATTTTCTTAACGTTGACTTCAACATCATGCTGTGCAATATTCTGATTCATTATCATGACTTTCTCGCCCTTAATGGACGCATTCATGCGATCTTTCTTTTTTTCTTCCCGCTGTTTTAAATCCTCTGCATGATATTCCGCCCCAGTCATTAATTTGTACACTGGACGATGTGTCTTGGTATCCATATCCACTATTTTAACTAATTTTAAATCCCTGCGCTTTGAGAGTTTCTGTGCCTCTTCTACGGTTGTTATATTTATTTCTTGACCTGAGATAAGGGTTATTTTGGGAATTATTGCAGTCTTTCTTTTCGGATTTTGTTGATCATAATTTTTATTGGTAGGGTTGGTTGAAAAATACCTTAACCTGGTACAATTACACACTAGTTTATTTTTAGACGTTGTATTAAGTACATTGGTTGCGTAATTTATTAGTTTAAGGGAGTTTGTAAACTTTTGGAGAATCATTTTTACATTTTTGACGTTTTAATAACCTCAAATTTCTAGTACATAACCTCACTGAGTGGTACACTTGAACTACTCGATAAAATAATTGTTGTATTCTATATTACATTTTATTGAATACCAAACACATTTTAATTTAACAGTGGAGATATTTATATGGTTCATTCTAAATCCATTAAATTATAACAAAAACTTAATTCTGTAGGTAGGCAACCAAGTTATCAGCAAAGCAACTAGTGCGAACTTAGCTTTAGGCGGCGTCAATGGTACTGTCAAATTGTCAAAAAAATTAAATGCATTTTTCATGTTAAATTTTGGGAGAAAACGCTTAAAATGTGGCACGAGGCGAGAAAACAGGAACGTAAAATACGGGGAATGCTCGTGGATTACCGTAGAAGAGCAGAAAGGCGCCGGGATTTCTACGAAAAAATAGTAATTAATTTCTTGGGTTTGTGGGGTTTTATGGGATTAATTGTCTTTTTTTAGAAAGCAGACCCAACGCAGTTCTTGCAAGTGCACGGGAGACAATGCAAAGTGCACTTGGACCCAGCAATTGCGGCTGCTGCTGACAGTGCTGTAATGTGAGTTCGTAGAGTATCCAAAGTTAAAATAAAGTTAAAAACCTTTTTTTTTACCAAAAAAGATTCAAAATTGGTCATTGTAAAACTTTTTTGTTGTGTTAATTATAGGATGCCCTGGCAAGGCCAAACAGATAACCTCATTGACAGATTCGATGTGAGGGCTCATTTAGACTACATTCCTCCAGTAAGGAAAGATGAAGAACCCCACACAACACAAGAAGAAAGACAATTAAATTACGAGAGATACAGAATCATCGCACAAAACTCATTCCTAGCCGTTACAGAGGAGAAATTCCTGAAACAATTGCACTTGGAGGAGCAGTTTGGTTACACGGAAAAGCCGACGAAAAAAGAACGTACAGGTGGCGCTGCCATCGGGTTCAACTACGAAGAGGGAACGGCGATAAATCAAGCGGAATCGAACAATGAAAATAACGAGGAGGAATCCGGGGACAACTCCGACAGCGATCTGGACGTGGATTTGGCGATAAACGTGTCGAAAATGGACCCGACGGAAGCGCACGAGATGAACAAGCACGGCCATCATTTCGGAATGAGTTCCAACGATTTTTACTCGTTCCTCACTGGCGATCTGGAGGAGGCGGAAACGTACAGGCTGGCCAAGGAGGAGGAGCACGAGAAGGCTCTGTTTTCCGGGAGGAAATCGAGGAGGGAGCGGAGGGCGCATCGGGAGAAACGGCTGGCCAATAGGATCATCAGCCCGCCGAGTTATGCCGCTCAGGCCTCGCCCACCCACCCGCTATTGGCCGTCAGCCGGTCGCCTTCTAGATCGCCCTCGCCGGAAAATACCGGCAAGATCACTTATATCACTTCTTTTGGCGGTAAGTGGCAGTTTAAAGGTTAAGTTAGGGCCGGTTTATCAATGTTAAAGTTGCAGTTAGTTATCTGGCAGATAATCTCTATGGATACCATTGTTCTCACAACTATTGATGTAGAATTTAACTGTCAGATAGACTAACTGGAACTTAACCAGAGATTGATAAAGCAGCCCTTAGATATTTATATTATTGGTGCACCAAGGTAAAGTTAAAAAAGTTTGTTTTGACTTTAATTAATCTTGGTCAAAAGTGTGTTGGATTTGATTGGCTAATTAATGGTTGTATAATAAACAGTGTTGCCAATCCAAATTTAGAAATTTGATTACTCTTGTGCGTCAAAATCCTTACATTTTACTTGCCAAAAATTAAAATCCTTACAAAATCCTTGCACATGTACTCGGTTTATTCTGCCGTCCTAAGCGTAAAGCCTGATTTATATATTGCCTTCCTTCCTCCCGTAAAAGATTAACAATACGAAAACCATGGTGATGTTTATAATATAACCTTATCACCATGGTTTTCGTATTGTTAATATTTTACAGGAGGAAGGCAATATATAAATCAGGCTTAAAGGTCGTGTCTGCAATATTTTGAAGTAAAGGACAGAAGAAAATTTTAATTTAAAAAAACAATAAAGAATAACGTTTTTTCTTAACTACCAAAAACTATCGTTCTAGGACAAAACGTTATATCTGCAATATTTGGTAGTTAAGCACAAAAGCCATTTTTTATTGTTTTTTAAAAAATTTCCTTCTCTCCTTTACTACAAAATATTGCAGATATGACCTTTACGCTTAGGACGGCATTATTATATTAAATCAACTTTTAGAAAGAACAAATTATTGCGCCTCTTGCCTTGCTGGAAGAGAAAAAATTAAAGATCATCTTACTACCCGGGAATTTCAAATCTATAGATCAACTTTTTTATTATTTTATTCAGTAGGAAATAAAATTAGCACAAGTTAACGAACAATTTATAACATTTTTAACGAATTATTTCATTTTACGGCTTGAATTTTGTTTTTTTACTTTAAGTAAAAAAATTAAAATCCTTGCAAAATCCTTACAAACAACTAATCCTTACAATAGTGCTTACAAGTAGTCAAAATACTTACAAATGTAAGTAATTACTTGCAAATCGGCAACACTGATAATAAAAACAATCTGAAACAGTAAAAAATATAATAATGTTTTTTTATAAAGTAGGTAGGTACCTACTTTCGTTTTACCGTAATTTTAAACATATTAATTTTAAGGTAGGTACCTACAACTACAACTTTTCAGATAATTACAATGTTTTGTAAAAATATTTAAATTTATTTTAAACAAATCTAAAAATAGTATTTTTGTCAACAATATTTTGTACAATTAAAAAATAAAAATTGGGATAATTTTAAAAATGGTGGGTCAAATTCGCACACTTGTTCAAAATTAAATAATTGTGAGAAAAATTCGCACACTTCAAATTTAAAAAATGGTAGTACAAATTCGCACAGTAGGTATGATTAATTTAAAAATGGCGCCAAGTATTTCAAAATCAAAAAATGGAAGGAAGAATTTGCCCAGTACAAAATTAAAAAATAGTGGGGAAAATTCGCAGTGTCTTAAAATTAAAAATTAGTGGAAAAACTGGTACCTACATTAGCATGAACTTAAAAAATGGTAGGACAAATTCGCAAAGTAGGATAAATTAAAAAATGGTGGTCAAATTCGCACATTACAAAATTAAATAATATTCAAAAAAATTCACAGTTCTAAAATTAAAAAATAGTTAAAAAAACTCGTACAGTAGCATGAATTAAAAAAATTAAATGACAAATTCGCACAATAGTTCAAAATAAAAAAAATTGTGTGAAAAATTCTTACAGTACAAATATAAAAAATAGGAGGACCAAAACGCACAGTAAAAATTTAAAAAAATGGACAAATTTGCACAGTAGATTAAAATAAAAAAAATAGTAGTTCAATATTAAAAATTAGGACCAATTCACACAGTACAAATTTAAAAAAAAATGAAAAAACCTCATACAGGGGCATGAATTTAAAAAATGGAAATCCAAATTCGCACATTGACAAAATTTTAAAAAATGTGGGAGAAATTAGCACAGTAGTTCAAAATTAAAACATAGAAGAAATTCGCACAGCAACAAATTAAAAAAAAAAGTGGAAAAAACTTGTACAGGAGCATGAATTTTTAAAAAATGGGAGGCCAAATTTGCACAATGACAAAATTTAAATAAATGGTATCACCAATTCGCAAAATAGTTCAAAATTAAAAATAGAGGAAAAAATTTGCACAGTAGTTCAACATTAAAAAATGGGAGGACAAATTCGCACAGTAGTTCATAATAAAAAAAAATAGTGAAAAAAATCGCAGTGGTTCAAAATTAAAAAAAGTACGAGTACGATTTTAAAAAATATACGGAGTAGGAATATTAAATATTTACTAAATTTTTACTAATGTGAATATAATTGAGAAGCTACTCTACAAAATTTTTGAGTGTGTAACTCAATCAAGAGTTTTGTAAAAGAAGTAAAAATTAAAGCATTCAAGACCTTTTAATTCAAAAAAGATCACAATTTGATCTTAACAAGTTTTGTAAGTCGATGTAGTTCAGCTTGAAGCACTTATTGCTGAAAACGTAAAACTGTGTTTTGCAGAGTAGCTCCTTAATTGTCTTTTGAATGTCAACTTAAGCCGGCCATAACTTTTTGTCATTTTAATCTAGAAACTAGATATAACCAAAGATAATATATTATATCTTATCTTAAGAATTTCAAAGCTCTTAGGAATGTCAACTTTTTTGACATTCAAGAGTTGGGTTACAACCTTTGGACTTTCTTCACGGTGCTGTTCTGAGAGGTGATTTTTGGACTTTCTGTGAAACCTAATTTTTTTTTATATTCTTGTTAATTAGGTCATAACTAAAATTTTAAGAGCAAAATAAAAAAAAATTGACGGTTAAAAATATGTATGCACACTTTCAATTCTCCAATTAAAACTTCTGAGAGAACAAAAATTATAGAATACATATACTGAAAATGACAATTCAAACTTCAAATAAATTTTTAATAGATCTAAGTTTCATGGCAACCTTTAAGGATATATCCTTAAATCCTATCCTTATATCCTCTTAATTAAGGGAACATAAATGTATACATCAAAGGTTAGATTAAAAGTTTGAACGTTTATTGCAACAAAACAGTAAAATATATAAAAAAAAATTGTAAAAACCTTTTTTTTAGTTATGCAAATATTAAATATTTAAATTAAATCGCTAGTTTTAATTGGATAATTGAAAGAGTGCATAATATTTTTAATAAACAGCCAATTAAAACAATTCAAACCGTCAGATTTTTTTTATTTTGCTCTTAAATTCTTAGTTATGACCTAATTAACAAGAATATAAAAAAAAATTAGGTTTCACAGAAAGTCCAAAAATCTTAAATAACGTTAAACTTTGAAGATGACGAAGAAGGGCCGTCGACTAGCAAACCAACCTACGCAGACAAGGTGAAGTACGGCAAACCGAAGGTGTCGACTGCGTCTGCGCAGTCGAAGAGATCGTCCACGGAGCGCATCGTGTACAGAAGACGAAGCCGAAGCAGAAGCAACGCCAGCCGCGACCGCAAAAGAAGAAAACCGTCCCGATCGCGGTCAAGATCCAGAAGGTCGCGAACAAGATCTTCATCCGCAAGGTTAGTTATTTTTTATTTTTGTACATTCACGCAGTCTCTTAAAAATATGGCACACCGTTTTAACATTTATTAAATAATTTTTTAATTGGCTTAAAATTTTCATAACTAAATATTAGGTTTACATTTACAAAATCAAAATTTAAAGTATTTTTTAACTATCATGTATTGAAAAACAAAATTTACTAACTAACAGTTCTTTATTAAAAAATATTATTTCCAATGAATTTGTTTAATAAAAATAATTTCTCAAGTATAATTTAGAGTTTTGTATTAAAAAATATTATTTCCAATGAATTTGTTTAATAAAAATAATTTCTCAAGTATAATTTAGAGTTTTGTAAATCCTAAATAAATTTTGGTAATATTTCGTATACAGGGTGTTTCAATAAAAACTCCCAGGCCAATTATTTCGAAAACCAAAAGTGACATTTAAATTCTGTAAACGCCAGTTTTTAGCCTCTATGATTGGCTTCACAACTGTGTAAAAAATGTTTTTGAATAATACAAGATGTAGGTGGCGCCACAATGCAAAGAATTTTTTCGATGGCAGGTACTTTTAAATTAATTTTTGATCAAATTATGTCCCATACAAATTTTTGATAAATCCAACATAAAAGGAGATATTTGGGGTTACGTTTTTTTTTTAATAATTTTAACGAGTATTTTAATTATAAATATTTTTAATATGCTTTAGCAGATGATCATTTAATTCTGGTAATCATAATTATAGTGATCAAACGCTCGTGTAGCGCTAACTAGATTAAAATTATTACGTCCAGTGACGGCTCAGGGGGGCCCTTAACAAATAATATTGGCAAAAAATAATACGCCACTGAGTTTCTGGTAATTTTTATATTTTTTTTCGGATTAAGCAACTAAAAATATCCTTTTTTTGTCTGTTAAATTGTTTTCATATCTTGCTTCGTTTTCAAGAAATACAAATAAAACCATTTGGAAAACAAAAATCATTAAAAAACAAAACTATAAATTATTAATACGCTATATTTTTTGCTGTTTAAAAACAAATGTTAAAACCTAATAAAATAAAATTAAAGGATGTTTTAAATTTTATGAATGAGTGGTAGAAATTATAAAAAATTATTAAAGAAAATTAGAACAATACCAAAAACTAACTAATAAGGTCGAATGAGGTGTTCAAAATTATTGCCTTTTTTATACACACATATCAAATCGATATAATAATTCGGTTCTGCAAACTCTCAATAGTGTATTTTGATTAATAGAGGCTATAGTAACATAGATTTTTTTGTACAGGTCAGCAATGTCTTCTATTGGTTCCTTGTAGACTTCATTTTGTAAGCCTCCCCATAAATAAAAGTCAGTGGACCTTGCTGGCCCTCTAAGATCCCCATTTGTGCTGATCACTTTTCCTGAAAACGTCATTTAGATGATTTATAACGATATTGCTATTGTGTGCTGGGGCACCGTCTTGATGAAACCACATAGTATTTACGTCAATTCCCAAATTTTGTAACAGCAAAGTGAGATCGTTTTGCAGAAATTGTAAATAACGAACTGAAGTTAAATGTTCATGGTACAAATAGGGCCCGACTATGTAACCATTTCCAATACCGCACCAAACATTTACCCCAAATCGTGTTTAAAATTTAGTCTGTCGTATCCAGTTAGGATTTTCCTGGGACCAGTAGCGACAATTATGTTTATTAATTACTACATTATTGTGAAACCGGGATTCGTCACTCCACATAATTTGGTTTAATAAATTTGGATTTTCTTCCAAAATAATATGAAAATGTGTCAAAAAGTTTAATCTGCGCTGGTTATATCCTTATTGTAGATGATGCACTAGATGAACCTTGTATGAAAAAAACATATTTCCTTTTACTTACTGAAATATTGGTTTCATCTTTTAATATTGAAATATTAGTTTCATCTTATAATTTTCCTAATGACGATTTTGGGTTATTTTTTTACTGATTGGAGGACTAAAGCCACATTTTCGTCAGTCGTATCCCTCTTTCTTCTTGGAACCGTTTAGCTAAGTTGCTACACAAAGCTCCAAAAGATTTGCGATCTGGCGTTGGTCTCGATAGCAGCGCACAGCTTCTGAAGCATTTTGATGTCATTCTCCATAAACTAAAACCATGTATGTTAAATTTGTCTTGATTTGTATGGTGAACCATTTTTATTTTAGAAATGTAAAAATTGCAAATTCTTACACTGACACTAAGTAAAGAAAAGTTTACTTGTAAAATTCATTTGTTTTCTAGAGATATGCAGTTAAATGGTTTTATTTTTATTTCTCGAAAACGAAGCAGGATATAAAAACAAATCAACAGACAAAAAGGATATTTTTAGTTGAATAATCCGTAAAATCTATAAAAATTACCAGACACTCAGTGGCGTATTATTTTTTGCCAATATTATTTGTTAAGGGGCCCCCTGAGACGTCACTGGACGTAATAATTTTAATCTAGTTAGCGCTACACGAGCGTTTTATCACTAAAATTATCATTACCAGAATTAAATGAACATCTGCTAAAGGATATTAAAAATATTTATAATTAAAATACTCGTTAAAATTATTTAAAAAAAAACTTAACCCCAAATATCTCCATTCATGTCGGATTTATCAAAAATTTGTATGGGACATAATTTGATCAAAAATTAATTTAACAGTACCTGCCATCGAAAAAATTCTTTGCATTGTGGCGCCACCTACATCTTGTATTATTCAAAAACATTTTTTACACAGTTGTGAAGCCAATCATAGAGGATAAAAACTGGCGTTTACAGAATTTAAATGTCACTTTTAGTTTTCGAAATAATTGGCCTGGGAGTTTTTATTGAAACACCCTGTATAATACGAGTTATCAACGTTGGAATGTCACAATTTTATGACGTATTTTGTGGACGTAATTAAAACGTGTTAGTTAGACGTAAAAAAACGTCCCCCTTAACGTGGTTAAGACGATTCTTAAAGACACCTTTAATACGTCTTTACGTGTTGGACGTATTTTGGTAGTTAAATAATTGCTGTTTAACATTAAATGTTAAATTTTATAAAAAACTTTTGCCAAAAGTAAGTAGTGGGGTCCACTGATTACTTTTCACAGAGTGGGCCACAGGGCCAGCTGTGTCCCTTCAAAACTTACGAGCAGAAGCGGTATGGTCAGTAATTTTGCCTTAGTAAGAAATTCTTACTTAGCAGCTTAAGGCATTCCACCTTTATAGGACTATCTATTGTGCTACAGAGACGAGGGTTATGCATGGGTTGCCTACATTTGGCGAATTTTGAAACATTTTGATGACGTCGCATATTCATCTGATTCTGGTATGAAATAAGTGGTCAGATAATGGCGAGAAATATACGTCATTTTTACGTTGTATTTTGACATTTATTTTTACTTCTTAAACGTCGTTTGTCATTTTCTGTTTGCTGGGTAGTTAGGTACATATTTCGTCTAAATTTTACGTGTATCAAACGTATCTTTAAAACTTCTCAGAATTCCTGTGGAATACTTATAAGTAGGTATACCTTCTTGATTTCGACTGAAAGAACTGTATGTGAAGTTTTTTTTATGTTTATGTAATATTTTTAACAAATATAAAATTTTCATTTTTGTTAAAACATTCGTTTTTTCAAAACGTTTATTTCACGTCAATATTCCGTTACTTTAAAACTCGTTAAATAAGAACCAAAATGCGACGTGAATAACACGAGTTGGTTACAGCTCTGTTTGCTGGGAAATTCTCACATTGCATGTAAATGTTAGTTTAAAATTTTAAAGTGGTAATTTTTGGATTAAAGAAATTTATCGACTATCATTTAAATGACTTGAGAAATTTATAACAAAAACTTTTATTTTTATCAAATTTAAATTGGTATATTTTTAACACAAACATATTCACATTACATTTAAATGTAAGTCGATAATTTTTAATTCACTAAGTGTAAACGCTGCTTTAGCCGACTGCATATGCTGCAGACTTCGCGCTTTGTAAGTTTCACCGACTATCGAATATGCTTAAAATTAATTGACCACTCTAGAAAGTGGCCGTCTGCTAAAGCTACGTTTACACGTAAATTAAAAGTTATCGACTTACATTTAGGCCCAGTTGTATAACAGTTGGTAAACAGCTGGTTAACTCTTGATAATAATTATGTAATGATTAAGCTAACTTTTAAGTTGTATAAACATTGATTCAAATTTAATTAAGTGATTAACGTACAATTAACAAATCGGTGAATTTTGTGTGGTTAACGACGGGTTAGAACACACATACCCTTATAAATGTCAACGTTTAAAAATTTTTATTATTTTTTTGTTAGTTTTTATCTGTGGTTAGCATTAAAATGGTAGAACATTTAACGGATGATGAAGATTTTTTTTATAATTAGTAGAAATTGTTATTTTTTCTAGAAAACCGAAACTTTCGTGCTAGACCTGAATATTTTACAGATTTAAATATAGAAGAATACAGAAACAGATTTCGTCATTCAAAAAATATGATAACTTTTTTAAATAAAGAAATATCAGCCATAATTTCTTTAAGAACTAATACAAAATAAGCGTTTTCTTTTAGGCAAATGATTGAATTAACTTTACGATTTTTGGTAACGCGTTCATTTTACATTCTACAATGTTTTTATATTTTTTACTACCTATTCAAAGCAATATCCAAGATTTTTTTCCACTAAAGTTAGACACCCTATTACCACAATCTTTCATTTTTGACCAACAAGCCTATGCTAAAGCCATTTTTTTGTATATTTTGTACAAAATATTAAACCCTTTACCCAAAAACACAAAACACACCTGCAAGAAGAAATGTAATTAAAGCTTCTTACAATTGCACATTAATGTATGCAATAAATAAATAAATACCAATATACTTACTAAAATCTTCCTAAACAACAAAAATTATTAATATTAATTTGAGGAGGACATGGTTAATTTGACAATTACGAAAATTATGACATGACAAATACGAAAATTTGGTGATTTTTTAGTGAATTCCCCTAAATTTGAAATATAACTAATTAAAACATAACCGAGTGTTGCACAACAAAATTTTCTTTAACCAGCTATTATTGATTAATCCGTAATTTATTAATCTGTTGTTAATCGGACTTTTAAACAACTGGGCCTTAAATGTTATAAAATTCAACCAAAACATTTTATTTTTAACAATTTTTAATTGATACATTTTTAACACATTATTTAATAATGTGTTAAAAATGTATCAATTAAAAATCATTAAAAATTAAAAATTTTGGTTTGAATTTGTAAAGAGTCATTTAAATGATACCTAGTCGATACATTTTTATCACTTTAAAACTTAAATTTAAATGCAATGTGAGAATTTTTGTATTAAAAATGTATTGACTATCATTTCAATGACTCTTAACAAATTTAAATCAAAAATTTTGTAGAATAAAATATTTTAAAATCCAATATTTTAAACTTAAACTTTTACTTTTGCATTTAATATTTAAAATATTTTTTGATTATTAATTGTTTTGAGAAAAAAAATTGAACATTTTAAACTATTTTGGAAGAAAATGTTTTATGCGTTTTTATTTTAAATGTCTCGACACTATTTTTAAATACTAAAGAATTTAACTTTACCAATTTAATCTAAATACTTTTCTAAAAAATTATTTAGGATTTACAAAATTGCCCAAATAAATTATACTTGAGAAATTATTTTTATTAAAAAATGATGGTTCAAAATTTTTGCAAAAATTTATTGGAAATAATATTTTTTAATACAGAACTGTTGGTTAGTAAATAGTTAAAAATATTTTAAATTTTGTAAATGTAAATCTAAAATTTTTAGTTAGGAACATTTTAAGCCAATTTAAAAAATTATTTAATAAATTTTAAAACAGTGTGCCATATATAATTTTTAAAAATCAATATTTTTAAGCTTAAAGTTGTACAGTTAATTTATATTTAAAAAAAATTTTGACTATCAATTGTTTTGAGTTAAAAAATCAAAAGTCCTATGCTTAGCATGGCAGAGGACATGATTCTTCTTTGACTAAATTTAATGTGAACTTTAAATTAAAGTCCACTTTAAATGTTAAATTGAGCAATCAAAACCGAATTTGACGTTTTGAATTGATTATGAAACTAGATCCCGCAAAAGTCGCTCGAAATCCAGGAGCAATTCCAGGGAAAAATTCAACCGCAGCGCGGCGCGCAGGAGAAGACAGAGGTCTTCTTCTTCGTCCTCGTCCTCGTCCAGCAGCAGCTTGTCTTCCAGCTCGTCGTCGTCGTCTTCTTCTTCTTCGCGGGCGGCCGAGAAGAGCCGGACGTCGACGATCGAGAAGTCGAGGTCGAGGTCGCGCTCGAAAAGTCCCGAGAGCGTTGAAAATGCGGGAGAGAAGAAGGCGTCGCCGGCGCCGAAAGCGATTCCGAGGTACTACGGGCGCAAAAAGAGCGATCGCAGTTCGTCGGAACTCAGCGAGGCCAGCGACGATGCCAAAAACGGAGACAATTTGTAAGTTATAACTTGCAGGTTATACTTAAACGTCAAATAATGACAGCGTCTGTCATTATTTGATGGTTGCTCTTATATTTTTAGGTTATTTCAACTTCAAAATATTACAATAACCATAGTAACTACTATTTTCTAAAACTTAAAAAATTACAGTCAAAATTTTTGACAGTAAAAAAAGTTACTGACAAGTTTTGTTGACTGCAATTTTTTAGGTCTGAGTTAATTTACTGTCATTTTTGTTGTTACTGCGCATTACTACGCGACAAATTTTGATAGTATTTTTTCATTTTAGTGGTTATTTCGGTTACTGTCAAATTTTGAACTTTTTTTTGACTGCATTTTTTTGTTTGAGTTAATTTAACCCTCAAATTTAGCAGTAACTTATTTTTGTCAGATATTGTCATTTTTGTAATTTGAAAGTAATTAATGGTGGTTAGTTATTTTCAAATGTTTAAGTTTTAAAAGTTTTTTTGACTGCAATTTTTTAGGTTACTTACTTTCAACTTTTTAAGTTTTAAACATCAAATTTTGACAGTATTTTTTTCTGTTAGTCATTTTTGTATTTATTACGGTTACTGTTAAATTTTGAAGTTTTTTTGACTGCAATTTTTAAGGTTTGAGTTAATTTAAACCTTAAATTTAGAAGTAACATATTTTTGTCAGTTATTGTCATTTTTGTGGTTACTACGCGTACAAATTTGAATGTAACTAACGGCGGTTACTTACTTTCAACTTTTTACGTTTTAAACATCAAATTTTGACAGTATTTTTTTTTCTGTTAGTCATTTTTGTAGTTATTAAGGTCACAGTCAAATTTCGAAGTTTTTTTGACTGCAATTTTTTTGAGTTTGAGTTAATTTAACCCTCAATTTTAGCAGTAACTTATTTTTATCAGTTACCGTCATTTTTGTTTTTACTACGCGTAAAAACTTATATTATAAGTAATGGCGGTTACTTACTTTCAATTTTTTAAGTTTTAAACGTCAAATTTTTATAATATTTTTTCTCAACTGTCAAATTTTCAAGTTTTTTTGACTGCAGTTTTTTAGGTTTTAGTTAATTTAAACCTCAAATTTAGCAGTAACCTATTTTTGTCAGTTATTGTTATTTTCGTGGTTACCACGCGTAATTATTTGAAAGTAAGTAACGGCGCACTATGTCGTAAACAGAGTGATTAGGTGACCAAAAATATTTTTGTTGAAAAACATATTGAAAATGCTTTTTTGTTATACAAAAAGATAATTTTTATTAAATTTAACCATTAGTTAGGATTAAAAGAAGCTAAGTACAGGGTGAACCACGTAAGATAACCCATATGCCTATCTCAGAAACAAATGGAGTCATGAAAAATTTGTAGGGAACAAAAATATTTGAATTAATACATATTTTTTAATGTTGTAATTTAATTTATACAGGGTGTTCAATTTTTTCTGGGACGATACCAATTTTATTATTTTCGATTTTTACAACTTTTTATTCTACGTACTTTTTTATGTTTTTAATGGCCTTTTGCAGAGCTAAAAGGGATTCCGCACTTGTACTCTTAAGAGTATAAGGATAATTATCCTGTTAAAGTTTTCTGTTTAGATACCTCATCTGCCATTCATTTTTCTCAAATCCGTTAGATTGCTAAATTTGGGTATTTGAAATGGATGTTGTTAGCAAGAAAGTTAAGAAGTTATTTTTATAGCCAATTGGCTATAAAAATTAGTTTTAAATTAATGTATATTTATTATTTTTATGTTTTTATTTAATTTTAAGGCGCCAGATTTAAAAAAAAAACTCGGAAAATAAAGACAAAAGTTTAAAAAAATGAGCTCTAAACACATTTTTTGACATAAAATCAAGTGTAGCCAAGTTTCTCAACACTTCCTGTCAAAATCCTTAATAACGACCATTATTCATATATTAACAAACACTTCCACACACAAAAAAAATTGGGGCAACCTGGGGCACCATTACTATTTGCAAAAAGTTTGCTTGAATGCACGTTAAAAAAATGACAAAATTTGAACGGCTATTACTATATATAAAATAAAATATTTTTTTAATTTTTAACGTTATACCTTAAAAGACATTTATTTTAAAGCAATCTACCAAATATAACTCCTGTTAATTATAATTTATAGTTTTAATCGCATAATTACCAAGCGCGATTTATTTATATAAAAAAATGTGTTTGTGCATTGTTTTAAAATTTTATACGTCACGGTCCTTATTAATATTTTATAAATAAACAAATGTTTGTACATTGTCAAGAAAAGCATAATGATCAATTTTATGTATATTTTTTTTCTGTAAGGGCAACTTCAGAAATCGACTTTTGGTCACCTATACAGGTCAAATACGACACAGTGCGGCGGTTACTTACTTTCAAATGTTTAAGTTTTAAACCTCAAATTTGGACAGTATTTTTCTCAGTTAGTCATTTTTGTAGTTATTACTGTTACTTTCAAATTTTGACTGCAATTTTTTAGGTTTGAGTTAATTTAAACCTTAAATTAAGCAGTAACTTATTTTTGTCAATTATTGTCATTTTTGTGGTTACTACGCGTAAACATTTGAAAGTAAGTAACGGCGGTTACTAACTTTCAAATGTTTAAGTTTTAAACGTCAACAGTATTTTTTCTCAGATAGTCATTTTTGTAGTTACTACGGTTGCTGTCAAATTTTTAAGTTTTTTTTACTAATATTTTTTATGTTTGAGTTAGTTTAAACCTAAAATTTTGCAGTAACTTATTTTTGTCAGTTATTGTCATTTTTGTGGTTACTACGCATAAATATTTGAATGGAAGTAAGGCGTTTACTTAACACATTGACTGCCGTGTGTATCGCTAGCGATACACCGGGCGTGAACTGATCTGTCCGGGTGTATCGCTAGCGATACACCACTCACGTTCTAAGCTAGCCACGTGTATCGTTAGATCCCACCTTCCCATTAATTTGGCATTGCATTTCGCAAGGTCTGGCCTGTGGTAATGCACTAGCATATAAAACTTTGGCCTGGTGTAATCCTAAGGGATAATATAATAAAATTAAAATGTAGTTGGCTTGGGGTGTTCAAAACCAATAATCGGCTTGGCAGTCAAAGTGTTAATATTAAATGTTTAAGTTTTAAACGTCAAATTTTGACAGTAACTAACTTTTTCTAAGTTACTGTTATTTTTGTAGTTATTAGGGTTACTGTCAAATTTTGACTGCAATTGTTTAGGTTTGAGTTAATTTAAACCTTAAATTTAATAGTAACTTATTTTTGTCAGTTATTGTCATTTTTGTGGTTACTTGCTTTCAATTTTTTTATATTTAAACGACAAATTTTGACATTATTTTTTCTCAGTTGCTGTCATTTTTGTATTTATTGCTGTTACTGTCAAATTTAAATTTTTTTACTGCTATTTTTTAAGTTTGAGTGATTTTGAACGTCAAACTTATTGTTGTCAATTAGTGTCATTTTTAAGGTTACTACGCGTACAAATTTGAATGGAAGTAATGGTTACGTACTTTCAAATTTTGACAGTAACTACTTTTTCCCAGTTATGTCATTTTTTGCAGCTAAATTGAAAAACGTCTGACTTTTGCCTTTCTTTCAGAAATTCAAATGAGTCTAAGTCCTGTGGTATATTATCCGGAAATTCATCAGCCAAAGTCAGTAAGAACCCCATAATATTTCGTACTGTTTTATTTTTTTGTTCACAATCTTTATGTTTCACACAACAACAATGTTTAAATGAATACGTGTTATATTAATTTGAAGGTAAAAAAAAATCAACCCTACCTCAACACCTTTGTTTAGACTATACCCTATGTATTCTTTGCATATTGGCTCTTTTTAAATTAAAACCCAAATTAACTTGGGACATTTTCAGGGGGCTGGACCTACTATGACGATAATAGAACGCCTTAAACGTAAAAGACAGGCACTATTGAATAAGCAATGTGAGTGAGCTTTTACTTTTTCTAAAGTTTTCTTTACTTGGAAATTGAAAAAAAATATTTTTTTTAGTTAAAGCTGATAAAATAGCTGAACAAATAAAAACTGAACGCGAAAAGCAAGAACAGCAAACTAGAGAGGACGAGTTAAGGGAAATGTTGATAAAGTTCAGAAAAAGGTGAATTAAAAAAAAAAATTTTTGCGCGTTATTTTGACTAAAAACATTTTTAGGCAACGAGAAAAACGCCATGCAAACGAAAGCCGCAGCTCGGGTTCGTCCGACTCCGATTCGGACACGAAGAGCACGAAATCCAAACCGGAAAAGGACGATAAAAGCCGGAGTTCCACCCCGAAAAAAGACAAAGAACATTCGAACAGAGAACCTCGCAAACGCGAGCACAGAGACGACAAAGAGAAAAACACGCGCCGCGAAAGGAGTCGCGAGAAAAGTCGAGATAGAAGCAGAGAAAGAAGATCTTCAAGGGACAGAAGTTACAGAAGGAACAGCAGAGATAGAGATAGAAGATACAGTCCGAAACGAAAGGAAGAAAGAGTCATTTACAGAGACGATAAGCGATACGATAGAGACAGGGACAGAAACTACAGAACTAATAGATTAGTTGATTATTAATGATGTATTATTATGGTATTCAATAAATAATTATTAAGGCAAATTAATCTATTATTTTATTTGTCTATGGTTAATCCTTTAAAGAATAAACCATCGAAAATTAATTGCTATATTTAGCCAAGTTTTAAAAGTTTTCTAAGGTTATTCTTAAATTCGATAAAATAAAAACATAGATTTTATTTTATTTATTTATGAAAACTGGTAAAAATAGGCAAAAATTAACAAAAAAGTTAAATGACAGTGTCATTTTTGTTCAGCCATACTCGAATAGGCAAACAAGATAAAACATCTAAGTAAACTGATTGCCTACGTACAAAATTTTGTAAGCAGCGCCATCTATTTAAGTATGGCTAAACTAAAGATACAAAAATTTGGTGGGGTTATACTTAGTTTAGCCTTTTTTAATAGATGGCTGTGCTTGCTTAAATTTTCAAATACTTAAGTATATGTAAATTTTCCCTAGATAGTCCAGTCATCTTAGTAGTTTCACCTCGGAATATGAGATACCAAGCTGTATATTTGTATAAACTTTTATTTTGACATCCTAAAACTTGCCTCAAAACCTACATACTGTAAGGTGTCCGCATCTGTCAAAAATTAAGGTCAAAGGTCACAAAAATCGATTTTTTTAACATTTTCTGCAAATATCTCGTTTCCTATGGGGTTTACGCGATTTGTATTTATTATCAATATTATAGAAGATAAAATTCTCTACAACTTTTGTTTAAAAAATTTTGTTATATCTCGAATCGTTTTTGAGATAGAGGGCAGTGAGCGCGCAGTGTTTAACTATATAGAGTACCATTTAAGGTCAACCGGAAGGCCCGATCAAAAACATGCCTTAAACAGTTTATAAAATGTTGAGAAATATATAATTATAAATAATTTTAATTTTTTTAAATATTACATTATAGTTAATAACTTTTTTCATGATGTATCTATTGTTAATTAAGTATCAGTGTATTTAATCGCACGTACCTGGTTGTGTACTTAAAAATTACTAAGAGAAATACCTAAATTTTTTGTAATGTTAATCAATGCTATACTAATTACTTAAATAAGTAAAAATGAAGAAATGAAATAAATTTCTAATTAACTTTTTTATTAAAAAATTTTCAATCCTTACATTTATCAGTAAAAACTAAAAAAAAAAAGAATAATTATTCAAACAACGACAAACTCTGATTTTAATTCTCTTCTTCTTCATCATTATCATTGTCTTCCAGTTGAATTTCAACTTCTTCTTCATCTTCGCCTTCAACGACATTTGTTTCTAGGTCTTCCATGATGTCAGGATCAAAGGTCCCATCTTCTTGGGCATCATTCTGCTATGGCAAAGCATTGAGACAAGCTTGCCCGTTACATTGGCCACAAGCTAAAGAGCACTGCAACCCCGACTTCCTGCAACCACATCGCGAACCACAACCATTCTTGCAGTTGCAGAATATTGTATTTAGCAATTCTTCTGGAGCAGGTTGGAGAATTGTCGTGATTGGTTCCAGGAATTCGCCACGCATTGTCCAGCCCCAATTCTGGGGTTCCAAGTCATGCCCTAACCAAGAATGGTTGTGATTCGCGATGTGGTTGCAGGAAGTCGGGGTTGCAGTTGCAGATACATCATGAAAAAAGTTATTAACTATAATGTAATATTTAAAAAAATTAAAATTATTTATAATTATATATTTCTCAACATTTTATAAACTGTTTAAGGCATGTTTTTGATCGGGCCTTCCGGTTGACCTTAAATGGTACTCTATATAGTTAAACACTGCGCGCTCACTGCCCTCTATCTCAAAAACGATTCGAGGTATAAAAAAACTTTTTAAACAAAAGTTGTAGAGAATTTTATCTTCTATAATATTAATAATAAACATAATGTCTAGAGTCCCGTCAGACGGGTCTCCATTGCGCTCCCGTTCAAACTTTGTGACGTCACACACTGTAAATAGGTATTATTTTTCGAACGATAGGATTATTACAATAACCTCGGTAGCTCGATGGAAGGGCGCCTGCTTTGCATGCGAGAGGTACGTGGTTCGATACTACGCGCCTGTACAACTTTTTTTAATTTTTTTTTAAGAATTTATATACCGAAATAATACAATGTGGCCTTAAAAGCATTTATATTTAATTTTACATTAATATTTTAATTTATTTACCTTTCCTCGTAATAATTTTGCTAGTTATATAATATAAAATGTAATTAAATGAATATTCCTTCGTTGAAAAATTTTTACTCAATGGGGCGGGGGGGGGCCAATGGGGCGGGGTCGGTTGGGTTGGGTTGTTGGGTTTGGGTTGGTTTCGAAGCGGGCGGACTCGGGACGTTGGTTAAGGAAAAAAGATCTGCTTCCCGTCCTAAGATTGCGTCATTTGATGACGTCACTCTGTTAACGGGAGCGCAATAGAGAACCGTCTGACGGGACTCTAGACGCGGCGAATAATAAATACAAATCGCGTAAACCCCATAGGAAACGAGATATTTGCAGAAAATGTTAAAAAAAATCGATTTTTGTGACCTTTGACCTTAATTTTTGACAGATGCGGACACCTTACGGGAGTGCGTTCATAAAGAACGCTCGGGGTAAACTCCACCACACAAGGTCGTTCATAAACGGATTTTATGCGTTGTGCACATTTTGTGTAACCGTTCATAAAATACCTAGTTCTACACTCGGAGTGTTCGAAAATTACCGCTTCTACAACACCGGCGTTTTTCACACGACATCAGTGTTGCCACTTGTAACATAATTATCGAATTGTAACATAAATTTTTCTAAAAACAAAGCTTGAAAATTATATGTAACCTAATCGATAATTGTAACATAATTTTTAATCCAAATATCTGGACAAAATTAACTTAATTCTATCCAGATTAATTAATTTAATTAAGCATAAAGCCTGATTTATAGATTTCCTTCCTTCCTGCCGTAAAAGATCAACAATACCGTAGTACTGTTTATAGATTCCCGTACGGTATTTATAGTTCTAAAGGTAACGGTAGAGGCAGCGGTAGCGGTAGCCAAGTTGGGCATTGAATATTATATGAAACAATTTATAGTTGTCAGATAGTTTTGAATACGTAGTGGTTTCTTTAACTTCCTACTCCGAGTAACCATTAACATAACTTCATCGTTATCGCTACTACTTTCGTCGTCTGCATCAGAAAAAGCAATTGGAATTTCAAATAATGTTTGGACGCCCAAACTGGAACAAAGTATAGCTGCTTCCATGAGGTTAACTTTGACGTCAAAAACGCAAATTGTGACAATCGAAATGTCAGGCGTTCAAAAACCACCCAGCACCCTAGGAACACTCCGCGCAAAACTCACATTACACACGAGATAAACACCCTATAATCAGATTTCCTTTATGAACGCACCCCTGTATATAGGTTTTGAGGCAAGTTTTAGGATGTCAAAATAAAAGTTTATACAAATATACAGCTTGGTATCTCAAATTCCGAGATTCTTACCTTATTTTGACTAAGATGACTGGACTATAGAAAAGAAAACACTCTTCTAAGAAATTTAGACATACTTTAAAAAGCATATGAAAAATTTAATAGACGGCGCTATCTATAAAAGAATTGCTGAACAAAATATTTTCCTTCGCTAGGAGCGCCATCTATTTAAGTTTGGCTGAAGTTAAAAAATATTGGTGGTTTTCTTTAAACCGGCAATGACGCCACGCATGCACTACAATGCTATACCGTGTGATTCTCACTTTCCCTACTTTAACCCCACGAAAAGGAAACAGTCTCAGTCATGTGTGGTAAGTATATGATGGCATTTTGATTTACGCCATCTATGGATTTTTACGACAACTAAAACACTGTGTTATTTATCAGCGCCTCTAGCGGTGACTTTTGTGACATTTGTCAAAGTCTTGGTCAATTTGGGCATTTGTCAATCAATTTTTTAGTTTTTCTTCGCTAAATCACTGTAAGGATGTCCAAACTAATCGCCTCCGTGCCAACACTGGCTGGAAGTAAGTATTGCACCACAAAAATCCTACCATTTCAATAAATAAACGAAAAATTACGTAACCCACATAACCTCACTTTAACATTTTTTCTAAATTTCTTCAGAACTGGCCGCCGAAGCCCGTCCAAGGCTCAACGTGTTCATGAAGTACGCCAAAGTGGAGCTCACCCCTCCAACACCCGCCGATATTCCACAAATTAGGGCTGGAATCGCCCGTTTGATGGCTGGTGCCAAAAACGGTACCTGGAAAAACCTTACTGTTAAAGAGGCCTGGTTGAACACCCTCGTGGCCGTCGAGGTCGGTTGTTGGTTCTACGTTGGCGAGTGCATTGGAAAACGCCACATTGTAGGCTACGATGTCTAAGTTGTTTTTTGTGTAAAGTAGGTTAATTATTAAAGAAATAAAACTATTGTACTTTATTAGAGTTATTTTATTGTTTAAAAGAGGTAAAACATGATATTTTTTATGCTACTAAAAAATTACATTTAATTTTTTTATACATAGATAATTTTAAAATCCGCATTTTCTATTGTAACATTTCTTACCTATAATAAGTGAAAAATAAGATATTTGCAAAAATATGTCAATAGAACCTCTTACCCTTTCTTGTTCAGCACCTTATTTTAGTAACTATTTTCTTGTAAAAAATGTAACTTTTTGTAGAGAATTTAGGGATATAAATTTTGTATTGAAAAAATATGTTTTAAAGTGTAATATCCTTGAGTGAACAATCAATGGTAATATTCTTTTTCTATGATTTTTGTCACAATTCTTTTTAGGTAAATATGTTACATATAACATATTATAAAGAACATTTGAGCCCACATAAAATATAAATAAAACTATTTATAATGTAATAGGGCGTTTATTGTGTAAATTAACAAAAATAATTAATCATCAGGTGGTTCAAAAAGCCTCCAGTTAGGTGATGGTTTATCAATATTCAACCAATTAAAATCATCTATAGATTTCCAGTTATTAATATTTAGATCTAAACCAGCATGTGCAAAATCGCTTTCTTTGTCTTGGTAGTGAAAATTATAAGGGCCAAAAATAATATCTGTACAGTCCTCCATAATAGCCCTACTTGTGACATGTAGAAAAATAGTAACATTCTTTGAACTATGTAGTCGTAACTGTTGACAGGCAATACTTAAATTTGAGTTTTCGCAATTTTCTATGAAAATCGAGGTAGAAACCGGCCCTGATAAAATCGTACAATCTTTTATATGATTTAAATGTAACGTTGATGGAGTTCCTAGTAAAGTAATTTGGCAATCTTCCAGATTTTCCAGTGTTACGTCTTTTTTGTAGATTTCGTCGCTTCTAAGGCACAATTTAACGGACTTTTTGTCGTGGTAACCGCAAAAATTCGCCTTAAAATCGATGATTTTATCGTTTTTGGAGTCTACAACGTCAATTTTAGTATGGCTATTTGCATCTATTTTATTGGGTTTGGTTTTATTTTTAAAGCCAAACCTTTTTTTGGGTAAAAGCTCCTCCTCTAAGAGCTTACATTTTATGGTTAAATCATTCAGAGACTGCTGGCATTTTTTTATATCATAGTTACGTAAAAACAGGCTTGAAGCAGCTACATATTTTTGTAAGGTTAGGATATCATTTGAAATGTTATTAAAATAATCAGGCAAATCTGATTTGGATAAGTTTTTAGTGTTGGTTATTAAGTTAAATATCTCATAATACTTTTCGTTAAATATTTTCTGAAAATAGTCGACTTTCTCATTATCAGCTGCACCCAAATCTTTATGATCTTTTTTTTTTTGTATATTTACTTGACGTTCAACCTCCCTTTTTACCATAAAATCAATTTGACTTTGTTCACCATCAAACTCCATAACTAATTTTTCTTTATATTTGCAGCAGCTTCGATAGTTTCTAATAACTTCTTGGTTCTCTCCCTTTCAACCTGTGGTAAAGTTTTGCGAAGTTGTTCAATTTTTTGCTCAGAAGGTGATGTGGCAATTAACAAACCATAACCTAAGATACTGAAAGATGCCAGCCAAATTATTGATTTTACGTATCTATCCATTAATTTTGATTTGTACTCCAATAAGCAGCGTCAATTTCACGTAGTTTGTTGTTTTTATCAATTATTTCACCTGTTTTGTAGTACAGATCAAGGACTTGTGGATAATTATCCAGTAGATACTTTCTGGAATCTAAAAAAACAAAAATATGACATTTGACAAAAATTTTCAAAGAAAACATTTTTAGGAGCATACTGAGCTTTTATTGGGACATTTTTCCATAGAAAATATTTTGTAGTGTGTTAAAGCGATGATACAAGGATGTATCATATGTTGAAGCATTCTGTGCCCTAAATGGTTCATTCAATGAATGAATGAACTTCATTGCTTTCCATACAATTAATTTCCTATGGAAAACAAAGTAAAAAAATTCTAGAAACATCGTATTTACCTCTTTCAGTGTTGATTTTGTGCCAAACGAAATAGCTCCCGATAAAGCAACCAGCTTCAACGACAAACAACGTTAATGCGCCTCTTTTGATCCACTTTCTGTAAGCCGGTTTCGGGTTTTTAATCAGCATATTCAAAAAATACTTCCATGTGTGCCATCGACCAAATTTTGACTAAATTTAGAACAATGAGTTAAGGCCGTATTACAGCCGGCAATTCTTTCGGCAATTGCAATGAAACTTGCCATAGGCATGCGCGGTTGAGACCTTTCGACGAATCTCTTGCAATTGCCGAAAATCGGTCCGGATGGATTTTTATTGCCGTTTTATGGCAATTCTGGGGTGAAATCTGGTAACTTTTATGTTACCAACCCTACTACAAATTCCCTAGAGAGACGCTGTTTGACTTAAACAGTTTAAGGTTATTTGTTGTATTTGTTTTATGATTGGCATTGTGTTCAATGTTCTAGTATACATTTCACTCATTAATTTTTAAATATCTCTACTATATAACAAATAAACTTAGTGTTTACAAAATCGTATATTTTTCTTCGGTTGGTAGCACGGTAATAAACAGCAAGTTTTCTTGCCATTGCCGGCTGTAAAACAACATGCAAGACGGCCTTGAAAACTAGATGGCAAGAAAAATTGCTGCAAGAAAAATTGCTGCAAGAAGAATTGCCGGCTGTAATACGGCTTTAATGGTTTTAACACCACGCAAACTGAATCGAGCTCTTTTCAATTGAAGTGTCAAACGAGGATGGAAATAGGGTTATGTAATTAAAACATCTTATGTAGAGAGGGATTTTTCTAACAGGACTTGCGTTACGTCAAATAAAAGGGAGCAGCTCATTGCATCGAAACTCAATAGATCGAATCTCGCCAGATCGAAAATTTACATGACCTTCGAAGCTCACCAGATCGAAAATGTGTGGCATCGTCGCACTTTAAACATCAAATTGGTAAGGTTTGGTTCACATTTTTCATTAGGAAAAAGCGATTTTTCTTAAATGCAAACAAAGTTCGATCTGGGATATGCCTTTAGATGTATATACAGTATAGTAGTTTAAGCAACAAAATTTAAAAAGTTATTTATTCTTAGGTAGGTACTTTAAAATGGTAATTTGTATTTATATGAATACTTGAAAACATTGACAAGTGATGTTGTATTTTTATTCTATGGTTGTAAGAAGTGACATGTAAGTAAGTTTAAAAATATTTTTTATAATAAAATTAAGTTTTTTTTGTAGAATTCCAATTACCTATTCAAAGTTGAAAGTAGAAACAGTTGGTCAATTTAGGATAGATTTGTAGCATGACCATGTCAGCATCGCCAACCAGTCCTTTAAACATTTTAAATTTTGAAATAATAATTTTAAATTTTGAAATAATAGAATTAATATCTATTTTAAATGTGTGTTTTACTAAATATTGTATGTTTTCAGTACCTCCTGAGGATGCCGAAAGGTGAAAGTAGTCAAGATAATTAAAAAATAAAAATATCCATGATGCGAAATTGTCACCGACACTGAGTTAGACAAAGGAGAGAAACATACAAGATCTTTTATGTATCCTTCGAAGGATAGTATGTGACAAGGGGTGAAACAGAATTGACAAAACTGAAAACATGACTCCTAATCGATGAGTTGCCAGTTGGTACAAAATTATGCAACCAAGCACACATACACGTATGCTTTGTTGCTTGATTCTTCCAAAACTCGGCCATGGTGAAAAAAAGTCGGACATCATGTTTTGTGTGCCATTGGGTCCTGTTTGCTTATAAGAACTTCTTAAGAAGGCTTATTTAACTGTGTACAGTTTAAAACGTAAGTATTTTGTTTAATTGTCAGCTTTTTAGCAAACCTTGGTTTTCTATTACTGAAGTCCAGTTGGTTCATAAAAAAGAATAATTCGGTTATTAACTTGTGGCAATACAAATAAAGCAATATTATAAACTTGTCAGTGTTCTAAAATATATTAGTAAAAATTATAATCAATACTTTACAAACAAAATTATTTGGAATGAAAAAATATTAGAAGCAGTTTAAATTGTTAATAACAACAATTTGTTATGTTTTATTTCAAATGTTAAATCTTATAGGTTTGTTACCTTATTTTTTAACCAAAGTTTACTAATTATTATTATAGTCATTGCAATAATATTGTAACATAATTATTAATAGCCACATAAAATTTTTTGAATAATGTGTACATTTAAATACATCCATTTAGATACATAAATGAGAAAAATGCATCCAAAAAGAATTTAACAGTGGAACATTTTAAAAAATTTTAAAAAAGGTAGAATTTTTTAAATTTAAATTTCATCAGTGTTAATGTCTGTTATATTATTGTTTTACTAAAAATTGCCCAATATATTTTTGCTTTAAATTTTATGTTAATTAAATTTTTAATTTTTAAAAGGAGTTGGAATATGGAAGCCATGGGACACCAACCTGAGAATATAAACTGAATGCAATTAAAGTTGGAATATGAAATGTATAGGTATAACACTACCCTAAGAACATAAACCTTACATAAATGCAACACAACCCCCAAGTTTGAATAAGGAATCCATTGTACACCAACAGGCAGACATAAACCCTACTTAAGTAGGCTACATAATATTTATCCATATTATGGATATTATGTGCCACTATCCTAAGAACATAAACCAAAATATGTCAAAAATTTTGTACTGCATTTTTTAATATCTTCAAGCTAAAGGATAACATAAAAGTTAAATGATATGCATATTCTTATTTTTGTAAGGAAATAATAAATCATTACCTATATTAAAATTTTTTTTTTTAAATACTAAACAATTAGGTACCTATATTTTATTATTAATTTATTTTTGTAAAAGTAACTTTTTATTATTAAATTTGCTTTTACTACTCTTTTTTTGTAAGTTATAGAGTTTTTTAAGACTGATGGACTTTTTTGTAGGTAATGCAGTTATTATATCTCTAGATGAAAGTCCAAAATTTTAAATATAATCAATCAAAATTTAAACAAGTTTTCAATATATTAAATACCTTTTTTTGAATCCTATAATATTGTACAAGTATAAATTAAAAACTTTATTTTAAGAGAATTATATAATATTTTTAAACTAATTTATATATAAATTAGTTTTAAAATATAAATTATTAATATATATTAAAAACTGGTTTAAATTTTGATTGGTCATATTTAAAATTTTGGACTTAACGTACTTTGGCTCTGAGTTATAGAATCTATACTATAGATAGATATGTAGATAGAGTTAATTTTTTATTTAGTGATTTTATTAAGTTTTTAGTTAAGGCCAGTTTGTAATTAATTTACTCCAATACACTTTAAAGTGTAAGTAACAATTGTTAACTTCTTTTTAAAGAACATCTTATGTAAGTAGTGTTCTGTTAATAATATTATTATGCTAAGTTAGTATTGTTAACAAACCCCTAATATTGTTAAACCTGTTAAATTCTTAAAAAGATCTTAAATATTCATTCATTATTTTTCATTCATGCATCATTCATTCATCATTTATGCATCATTCATTCATCATTCATTAATTCATAAATATGACGATATATATATTCTGCAGCAAGCTCTTGTTCATTCTATTGGATTATGTTGCTCCTATCTAAACTGGCGAAGAAGATTCCGAAATTAGCATTGACGCATCCGTAAGTTTATTTTTTATGACCGTGGAATAGGCCTACTGGGGAAACCACGTTAAAAAAACGCGCCTTGGACTCTACCTCAAGGGTGGTGAGGAAAAGAGTTGATCAAAACATAACTGGAATTTAAGTTTTAACTCATTGTTAATGCTAACATGATTACAGAATCTGTATAACGAATCATTTGGCAGCGACAACAAGGCAAATTTAGAATTAAATCTATCTGTCAAAAGCCCAGCGCCAACTAAGGTAAACGTCCCAATTATCGACACCTTAAGAGATTTTTTTAAATCATATCGTTATAAAAATTTGCATATTAAAGTTACACGTTTAACAATTTTACTGTGGATTGTTATAATATTGATTATTGCTTTGCAATGTTTATTTTTTAAATAGCAATGCGTAATTTATATGCAAAAAATAAATTTGTTGAAAAGTACCATTTGACCCAGTTATCGACATGGGAAAATTTGTCTTGAACCAAATATCGACACCCTTGCGTACGTAATATCGACACTCGGAAAAGTCGATTTAAATGGTTATAATAAGTAACAAAGAGTTTATCATAAAAGTTTATTTATTATAAAATATAAGCAGTATTTATTGCAAACAAAAATGTTTGACGATAAAAGTATTTTAATCACAAATCTCCAGTACGCAGTAAAGTCCGCGTTTTTTTTTGTTCCTTAATTTTTTAAGGATCTCTTCTCTATCATACCAAAGAATATTATCCCTTTGTCCCATATGTCCCATATGGGCCATATCCCATATCCAATTGAGCCCATTTTTCTCCATATGTAAGACTTGGTAATCAAACTCATAATTTTCTTTACAATGATATGTCAATAATTTTACCTGGTATATAGTGATTTATCGTTATAATTCACTATAACATAATCGTTTACAAATAACTTTTCTTAAGTCATGTTTGTAAATGTTTTTTTCCCATTTTTCACTATTTTCAATAATGTTCATTTTAAAACATTCTTTCTGAAAAAAAATAGGTTGAACCAGTTATCGACATTTTTGGTACCAAATATCGACATATAAATTACATCCACTGCACAGACTTTGATCCACTCTAACGATGTTACCAATGGAAAAAATGGGTGTCGATAATTGGTACAGCGGTAGTTTAATATAATTTCCTTTAAACTCTTCAGACAGAGTAAGAATAAGTTTGATAGACATTTAAATATTCATAAGAAAAGAGAAAGCTACATAGTACCATTTATCGACACCTATGTCGATAAATCGTACAAAGCCTAAAAATGGATGTACCTTTTATCGACACCACATAATTTTACGTTTATACTGATTCTATGCCAAATTATTGGCAAAAACCATACATTATAGATTTTGTATATAAATATACAACTATCTACATAAAGAAACTTAAATATTTTAAACTAAAATTGCCATAATTAACTTACCTGTTTCTTAACACTTTTCTTAAGGATTTGCACAAGTTCACAGATGACTGCGGAATGGCGGGATTAAAATATTTT